TTGCTAGAACAAAATGGCGTCATTCAGTTCATTCTTCTGCTGCGCGCCAGCATCCGCTTCCCACAACCTGCACCGTTACGCAGTCGGCGCTTCGAAGAATATCGCTACTTTTGGTGAAACAACTGTTCTTGGGAGATTTCAAGACCGGACTACTCGAGAGATCTACGAGGCTTTTGAAATTCAAAAGCTAGGACAGCAATGCGTCAGCCAACCGTCCCTGTCGCTGAGTGCTAAGAAGGTGTCTTGTTTGGCCATCGCCTATGCGCAGTAACTCTGGCCGGCCAAGGGTGAAAGTACCCTTTTCTAATTTTTCCATTTATTTCTTTTATTTTTACCTTTTATTTTCATTTCTTTCCTTCTTTTTCTTAAATCTATTGGAGGTACTGGACGCCATATTTGAGGGCGATGTTTAGAGGGCATGCTCAGAACGAGCTCACATTAATAGCCTGCTAAGACCGACAACCTTGACGGTGCTAAATGCGCGCTCCAGAAGGACTGCGGAAACTCGCCGTCAGCACGCGCGCGCACACGAATATGGCCGCCAGTGGATACTATAGATCTAGTCTGTACATATTTTCTTCCTTTTTTCTTCTTCGTTTTCTTTGTTTCTTTTATCTTGTCTTCACTTCCCGTGGGGTTCAGTTTTCGTGGCTTCTTTTTCCTTCTTTTAACTTCTTTCTAAATAAATCAGTTGGAAGTCAGCGCTCTTTCGTTCTACTGTCCTTTTCTCTTCCGCCGACTTTTAGTGCGCTGTTTAATATTAGCTACTTGTAGGAAGCTCGTATCTAGAAACTTTAGGCGATTGCGGTGAGATCATGCTCGTGATGCCTAAAAAAATGTTGATGGAAGGGGGCAACAATCTTGTGTATGTTAGGTGGGCTTTAAATCTTGATAAGCACGTTCCCCTTTCTTCTGACAACACTTAGTATTTACCAGTGTCTTAAAGACATATTGATGGCAATTGTAAGTATCGGATTCGATAAATATTTAGCTATCCGGGGACGCTTTATGTGCGCTCTTTGGCAATGCTATATAATCACCAAGCTTCCAGGAGTACATGGCGACAACAGGCCTGAACCGCACAATCTATTTGAAGGTGAACATGCCCCCCCCCCCCCTCCCAATCGTAGACCACTTCCCACTTCACCGCAATGAAGCAGCAGCGATGTTCGCTTCCACTCCGTATCTCCCATCCCACGACGCTTGGTTCTCCAAGCTCACACACACCCCAGTCCCCGCTTCAACGCAGTAGAGGGTTTTAGGGAACCGCTTTGCAACTCACATCGGTACGAACACCATCGCAAAACGACGTGTGTAAACACGAGTTCTCAGTTTTATCACGAGAATGCTATATCGCTCGCCAAAGCTGAAAGGAGAGGTGGAAGTAGGACTCAAGTGAACCGTCGCTCTGTATCTGGGTGGTGACGCATAAAGCATTTTGCCGACGAAGATCTTAAGGTAGAGGTACTAATGAAACAGAAAAAAAGCTGTAAAGTTTACGTTTCTCAGTGGCTCTTCCTTGACATAGCCACTGTGCCTTCAACCGCCCCATAATCGCCTCTCTTTAACAATTTTTATAACCGATATGTCAATACTTTACAGTCAACGATTAACATTAACGCACCTATCGGCCATAAACGGTATATATGAAACATTTCTGAAGCCTCGCTGAAATTCATTCGCACATTTAAACTCATCCAACTTGACAAATACCTCCATGGGAAATACCAAAATTGCGTACTAACTTTTTTCATCAAAGAATTAAACATACACTTCCTCACTTGTTAAATCATATCGGATCATTAGTAATTGATGTCATGTCACTAAGGAAAAATAGCCTCGCTAGCATTGTATAAAAATGGACATTGTTTATTCGTTTGCTTGTCTTTTCGAAATTTTCTTTTCACGTTGTCTGCCATTCAGGGGTGCCGAGGGTTTGTAAAGTTGAACACATACAGCCTTCTCCCTCGGTATCCCCCCTCATCATGTCTGATGTAAAATAAAAATAAGATGATTTGATTTGATAGACCTCTGAAAAGTCCGTAGTCTTAGTTTGGGCTGGGAGCCAATGGGGCCGAGGCGCTTATCTCTGGTACGTAAATTTCTGAGTTCGAGCGCTTGAAAGTCTTGCCTCTTTTTATAGATAATTATAACGTTTTGCTTCACACCATAACCCAATTCACAGACTCATTCACCTTTAGTTTTGAATTCTTGTTTTTTTTTTCTCTTCTCAGCGCCTGCAGTGGCAGCTCGGTGAGAGAAGTTGCCAAACCATTTTACATTTTCCTATCGCTACTTCGTTATTCCTCATTGGAAATCAAATTTCATTTTGTAAAATATAGTTCACATTCCTACCCCTTGAAAGCCCTAATAATTATTTTAAAAAAATTCTAGACGGTCATTTGTCGCTGGCTCCGTCGTGAAGCATGAATGTAGCACACACAAACCGTAGCAGTCGATCAGTATTACATATATGATCGGTCCAAGCGCCCGATATCCAGGGTGTCGAACCGGAACCGAACCGAACCGAAAATCGGAACCGAACCGGTATTTTTTCCGGAACTGAACCCAAACCCGAACCGTTATATTGTTATTGTGATGAACCCGAACCGGAACTGAACCGGAAAAAAAATAACGGTTACCGGCTCATGTCAAAACAGTTCGGCCACTCGCTGTTGACAATGAATGTGCTATCAATGTCATTTGTTTTTAAGTGCCGTCAACTGACACACAGCTCGCTTACTAATTTTTCTTCTACACTCAGTCTTAGGAATATGAACGCTGCATCCATGAATCTTGATAAACGCTGCATCCATGAATCTTGACATAGAAACCAGTATTGCGCTGGCCGCGGCTTGCACGGAAAAAAAAGAATTGGAAGGCTGTGCAAAAAAAAAAAAAAAAAAATCGCGTCACGGGATTTCATTTTCGTACAATCTCGTAAATCCTAAATGCTGCTGTGTGCTCATTTCATAACGCGTTTCTAGAACGCGCGAGTTCTTGAAGCTTGCTTCCATCGGAATGAGAAAAGAAAAGGCTGTGGAGTTTGATAATAATGCATCCGGGTTCGTAGAGGCACTTAGAAGCTAACATATTTGTGAGACAGCGAACTCTTCTATTTTAATATTTATCCTATTACGTCCTTCTGGCGTTGCGTTCGGTGAAGTGTTTTTCACATTCCGTATCTTGTTTAATGAAAACTTATTTAAGGGTCTAATTTGAGTTACCGAAGGCTGGTTCAAATAAAGAAAGCTGTATTTTCTCCCCACTGTTCCTTCAATTGCTTACATGCCGAGGTGGCGGGATAGTTAGCGAGTTCTACTTGGAAGTGGGTTTGTAACGAGGTCGCGGATTTTACAGCTACTGCGTCGGACCCAATTAGATGAAGTCCGAATGCGTAAACGTCGGTGAGGTAACCTTTGAGTGCACATAAAGAAACCATTCTTGGTAGAAATCCCTGAGCCTTACACTACGATGTTTTCGTATGTGCTGATTTCAGATGTTTTATTTGTAATTTACTTTGATGTTGCAATTTGTCATTTATAATTTCCGAACCGGTTCGCGAACCGGTTCAGCGATTAATTCGCGAATCGAAGTAATCGAACCGGAACTGAACCGGAACAAAATAAATTTACCTGAACCTGAACCATAACCGAACCCGTATTTTGTTGGGTTCGACACACTGCCGATATCGATCCCAAGTACTCTCACTCACGGTATGGTCAAGACAAAAAACAGGGCTTACAGACTAGAGACGCTTTTTTTCGTAAGATGCAAGAGAAGTTTTCGTACTTGCTTTTGTTTTATCGAAAAGAAAACGGCAGCCGAGGTATGAAAATAAAGAGATCTGGCAAGTGCTCTTATCGAAGCGCGAACGCAATCACCAAGGAGACACGGATAATAAATTAAAAAACAAAACAAAAAAACATCCGAGCGTGATTTACTGTTTACGTGAGCAGAACACTAAACAAAAGAAACATAGAAAAATAAAAATAAAAAGATAAATATCATTCCAAAAAGACTCAAATTCAGAACTTCGCATCCCCAATCATCTCGAATACCAACGAAATTGTTATGATTTTTAAACCCTCAGACAATAATTCGGTTAGATATCGTCTCTAGCTTAAGTGCAAATTTATATTTCAAAGCTTTTATACCAACCTCGCTAGGTCGCCTACGTCGTTTGTCTCCCCAAAATATACAAGCAATAAATCCCCCATCCTAAGGATGAAATTGTGATTCATGCGCATCACCTTGACTGCACTTCGGCCATTTTTCACGATTTGTTTTATCTTTATATTCTCGACGACCAATCCAAACTAGCGCAGCGGCCTTTTCAGGGCGTTCATAAAACTATATTACAAACGTAAGCTTAGGACCTTTTTCTACAGCGGAGCTGTTAATGCCTAGTTTCCCCAAGATCGTGCCCCCCGCGAAGAACCGAAGACACCGAACTCTGGACACCTACCGCCATCTATGAGCGACAACGGCAAGCCACGTATCTGGTTGCTGCCGTTGCTCATAGATGGCGGCAGCCTTTCCACTCTGGCTTGCCGACTTCCGGCAGGCCATTACTTTCCATTGTGGAGCTCCGCTGGTCTTTCTTCTTCACCACAGTGAAAAGGCTGAATGCTTTTTAGTTAAATTTTGTTCTTACGTTCTTCCTTGGCTGAACATTTGCTGGTTGTTCCTCAAGTATGCTAATACGATTAATTTCGGTCCTATACAGTCTCCTCGGCCTGTTTTGGCGAGCGAAATTGCAGTTTCGTCACCGAAGCGAGGACGATTTTCTACGCACGTTGATTGGTGTTCGTGCCCATCCCGATCGGAGAAGCACATCAGTTCCCTAAGACTCTGTAATATCAGTAAAGGGGTATCGGCGACCGCGCCTTGTCTTTCAATTGGATACCGACGGTACGCAAGAAAGGACTAAAATAAGAATGCTAGCACTTTCAGAGAATCTGTTCTGCCTAAATCCCTATACTTTGTTTTTATTTTAGGGCAGGCCCGTCTCGGTGGCGTTTGCAATGTCAATTACAGCATGGTGATGGTGGAGGACGTGCCTCTGTCGTTTGGAATGGTGAGCAGCTTGCCACACGAACTGGGGCATGCGTAAGTACATATAAGGAGCTTGTCGTCTCTGCTCATAAAACTAACTAAAATCTTCATTGCTTTCAGCAGCGAATATTGCAACTCTTTATTTGCGATTGGTAGGAATACAATCGGAGATACAAAGGTTCGATGGTATCCGGAGTCCTGTATCACTGGCACACGTCGCCGAATACAATTCGAACTTTGTGTCTGGGATTGAATCCGAGACACTGATTTAGGATCGTATCCCGATATCTACCATTGCATATTGGTACTTTATATCTTATATAAACGATAGTGGCATCAAATAAAGCAGTTATTTATTCCTTCATGCCGCCTTTTAGACATTTAAAGCCATGTAATGCTTTTCGGTAATTTTGAACATAGTCATGGCAACACTTTCTTTGATGCAAGTGAAAAGTATGAATGTTAGCCTCCCAGGCAGCACACCAATGTCGGTCCGACATTGGCATAACATTGGCAAATATCGGCCTCAATATTGGACAATATTGGAAGCGCTACCCTTTCCAAGGTTGGCCCAGTGATCGGTGCCAATGTTGGGCCAATGTTGGGCCAATGTTCAACCATCGTTCCAGCCGATGTCGGCCCCATCATTGGTGCCAATGTTGGGCCATCGCTAAACCATGGTTCCAGCCAAGGTGCTCCCACATTGGCGAAGACCGGCGTAATATTGGACAACACTGGAAGCGCGACCCGATCCAATGTTGGCCGTCATGCTGATTTTTGGCCATCGTTGCACTCGCCCAGCTCTTTGCAAGTGCCCTCGCCAAGTTGTTTGCAAAAAGGAAGGTAAACAGACACAAGGGATTGTTTTGAAATCTCCTAGCAGTTTATTACACACAGCTTATTCTGTAGATAAGCACAATCTCAGCAATTCGTAATATCTGAAGAGGTACTGCTCAGCTGTGATACAATTAAAAAGACTGCAAAGCAAGCAACAACCGGGGTAATTCTTGGGTAGTGTCCAGTCTCCCGGCAGCTGACAGAATTGTTTTGCCAAAGTTCTACCACTAGTCGCCCCTCATTGGCGGTGCAATCAGTTCATCGAACTACATTTCATAGACAGATCGTTTCATCAAAACGCGATGTTTCATAAAAAAAACTCAAAATATGTTTTCTTTTCTTCTTTTTTTGTTGCAATGATCCGCTTCAGATTAGCATGAAGCGGCGTGAAAGGGTGGGCTGGTTCGGTGAGCACGCGCCTCAGGAATACACGCGTGACGAAATGCACCTACAGCGCGCAATTCGCGTAACGAATGTCGATGAAACGTAAATGTCGACCAGAAAGGTGGCAACGAAACGTGTTTTTGCGAAACGCAGGTAGAATAAAAAAGTCAGTATTCTACCTGCGGTTGTGACATTATTTCAGACAGATAATGGCAGGCGACTGTCGGTAAGATTGCGGGAAAATTATTCTCCCAGCTGCCAGGAGATTGGCAATGCCCAATTCTAGAGGTTATCCGGAAGATTGCCCATACAAGAACGGACAATGATCATCAAGTAGGTTGCAGTACACTTACGTTGAAAATGCTGGACTTGAAAGATGTAATCCGACTTATATGTCAACACGGGCACTGCAGAACAACCACTCAAACACAAAAACTACAAGGAAGTGATCCGTGAAGATTCAACACAATGTAGCACACGCTGCCATTCGCCGAACCGGACACTAAACTGTTCACAAGAATGTCTTGGGCCTCTTTGAAGAAATCGACACGGGTAGGACTTTTCGAACGAGATACCATTTACCACAGAAGCGAAATCCACAGCGGGCCTGCACCCCGCAGGCCGCATCACGCGCGAAACTAGGTCCGGTCCTTGCGACGCAGGCATTCCGAGTTTGTCAACGGGTAATGTGTCATCCGTCAAACCACATAATCACACTTCTGCCGTTACCCGCGCACAGAGAGCGGATTCAAGTCCGGCGAGTACGCACAGCAACCGCGCCTTCAGCTTAGGGAGAGAGAGAAAAAAGAGAGAAGGAGTACAAAGCAAGCAGGCCAGAACGGGGGTGGGGTGCGCTTACAAAGGCTTATCTTCAGGGGCATCTCAACAATGAACGGAGCCAGAGAATTTGTCACTTCTACCCAAGGCTGATAGTGCAGTAGAAGTTATGCGTGACCTTGTGCTTTAGGCAGGTTCCGTGCTCTGCCTTATCGCCAGCTTTGAAACAGTAGTCACCTGACCCTAACCGGAGACAGGATTGGCCTTAAACACGTATAGCGTCTAGCTTGCTGTCATTACCGATTTAACAGGACAGCTCTTTGAAGGTCAGCTTTCAAACTTCTAAAGAAACTGTCCAGTCCAAAAGTGGTTCCAAACGGGGCAAGTGTGACGACAGTATGTTTTGCGTCGTATAACTTACATTATATTTTTGAATGAAGAACTAAGCGCGACTATTTTTTGCGCACGATGTACACAAATGTATCTATAAATATATAAATATATTTTATCAATAAATTTAAAACTGTTTGTACACTGTTAGGTTCGCGTTTTTAAACTTCAAATTTTTTTACGAAAGAGTTGCACATAAAAGACACCTCGAACAGCACATCGTCCGACTTTCAACACACGATGAATCACCGACGCTCGCAGTAAGAAGGTTGCGATGCTGCGCGAACGGTTTCTGAAATATGCTGCGTAGGGTACGCCGGGCGCAACGGCTTCGCGACCGTTCGAAGGGCAAATGATTCGCGACAACAAAGTAGCGTCTTGCAGCATCAGTAAGCTAACGGGGCTCGAGAGTCCCACGCTCACATTTCCGCAGAGCGAGCGCGGCCGGCCAGATCGAGGCGCAGTATGCTCTCGCGTCGCGAATGCTACGTCGTTGCTCTGCCTACACTGATGACATGTGCACTAGCAGTCGAAGCAACCCTCTTGAGACTTCACTCGAGTTTAATATATGATTTTATAGCGCGATAGACTCTCGTAAAACTAAAAGTAGCTCATGAAAATAGTTTTTTTCTGCTCCCAAAATTTCTCCAAAGCTGCTTTGCCCAGTTTTATCCCTGTATTTCCAATACTGGAAATTGTGGCTTTAACACTCCAATATTGAACAGCATATGACAGCATACATTCAATATTAGAAAGCCCTTGGCCTTGGCAGTGCAATATGACCTGCACAAGTCAGCATACTTCCAAAATTGGAAATCCAAATTGGCTTTTACAGTCCACTATTGGACCAGCTTATGCCAGCATGAGTTGATCTTGGAAAGTTGATGGCTTTGACAGTTGAATATTGACCAGCTTACGCCAGCATGCACCCGATACTGGAAAGCCATTGGCTCTAACAGTCCAATATTGGACAGCGAATGCTGGCAAGTATCCAATATTGGAAAGCCATTGGCTCTGACAGTCCAATATTGTACAGTTTATGCCAGCATATATCCAATATCGGAAACCTACCGGCTTTGACAGTCCAATATTGGATAACTTATGCCGGCATATATCCAATATTGGAAAACCATTGACTTTGACAGTCCAATATTGGACAGGTTACGCCAGTATATATCCAATATTGGAAAGCCATTGGCTTTGGCAGTCCAATATTGGATAATTTATGCCAGCATATATCCAATATTGGAAAACCATTGGCTTTGACAGTACAATATTGGACAGGTTATGCCAGCATTTATCCAATATTGGCAAGCCATTGGCTTTCACAGTCCAATATTGGACAGCTTATTCCAGTGCATCACCAATATTGGAAAAACATTGGCTATGATAGTCCATTATTGGCCCAGGTAATTCCAATATTGGTAAACACATGGCTCAGTTGGGCCATTGTTGGGCCATTCTTTGTCCCATCAATTCCAATGTTGGCCCAATATCGTGTGCTGCCTGGGCTGTCATTCACCAAAAAAAATGTTAAAAAAGTATTTAAGTAATCTGGATATTTAGTTCGTTGTTTCCTGTTCAATATAAAACTCGGAAAACATTTGCTACTTCTTTAAAACACGGCAACTAAAGGAAAATTATTTTTCAGAGTAATATCTTCATGTCGGAGTTGTCCGATATGCGTCTAATCCTCCAAACATAATTTTATCTTATTTACCGAGTTTAAAAGTAATCCGACATTTTAAATCATATGAAATAGTTTTGTCGGTAAATTACTCTCATGGTTTAGCATAAATTAGCACAAATTGTGTATACAAAAACCCGCATACACAATTTTCAGGGCAAAAAGCAAGGCAATTATATAAAATGTCGGTATGAGGTTCTGTTCGTGCCAACCGGATTCGGTTGAATCGTTGTTTTTCGGTTTGTGCGTGCGTGTGTGCGTTTGTGTGTTTTAATTGACTCTCAACGAGGCAACTCATGCATTTAAGCTCGATTTAGTTTTTTCCATAGCAATCAGTGTGTTTCACGAGTAACGACTTTTTTGCAACATTACAAGTCATATATCCACTTTAATTTATATCACAATTCATTAGTTCGGAGTAATGACTTGACAATCAACATAAATATTGTTTTGTCGCGCTACAGATAAGAGCCGTTCGATATATGAAGACTTTGAGTTATTAAGATTGCGCTGGGGCATACTTTGAAAAGCATCGTTTATTGACTATGCACCAGCTGACACATTTCAACCACACCAAAATGAACTTTCATCTCCACATCTCTTCTGTAACATACAATCAATAAAAGGGGATACTGCGTATAAATTAAGACGTATTCTATCCCCTACAACAAAATAGGAACAACATTATGTTGTACAAAGCATAAGTCACCAGATCTTCCATTTCCTAAACGAACACCTGCACTTTTTTTTTTCATTTCGACAAAAACCAAGACCAGTAGCCCTTAAGAAGTTCGTATTGCATTTTGGACATAAATATTGATATTGCCTCAACGTGCCTAGCATTTTTCTTTTTCACTCCAGCGTTCCGTATATGGTTTGACTTGCTAAACCTGTGTGGCGTACGGAAACATTTTTGTTTCATTGACTCCGTGCCAGCCCACAAATTGTGCTACAAATACAAATACAAAATAACCAGTGGTGTAGCCTGGATTTTATTTTGGGGTGGGGGGCGGGCATTATATCCTCTGCCACTCCTCCAATGACGAAGCAGGAGGAACTCAGGGGTCCGGATGCTCACGCAAAGATTAGGGAGGCGCTGCTAAGATAAGACGGGTAAAGCTGCATTGTCATTTGTTTTTCAAAACGGAGCAGGCTTCATTTACAGGAATACGGGTGTGGTGACTCACTGTTCTACTGTCGCCGTAGTTGCGACCCACTAACTTTAAAAGCTTCCGCACAGCACACAACTCCCTCCGCTTTTTGAGATTCCACTGCATTACAAAGGCGTGCCGGCCAGACAAAACAAAACGATAGTATACTGGCAATAAAAATTTAACAACACAAAAAATGAGACGTTTACAACTTCCTGTAACGCCGATTTAGAGCGCAGCTCTTAAGGAGGGGGAGGAGGAGGGTACTGAGTGGAGGGAATGCACCTCCTCCTATCCGTACCCTCTCCTTCTTCGCTCCTCCTTCTTGCACGCGCAAAGCGCACGTCGTCACGCGACGTTTAGACGCAGGCACGAAACGTCCGCGGGTTGCATTATGGAAAACGTCCCATAATGCACCGTGGCGACATTTCGGCATGGTAACGTTTCGGCGCTGTACCTAAACGTCCTCGTGGAGCATTATGGGAAACGTTCCCTAATGCACCACGGCGACGTTTCAACATGGCGACTTTAAGGCACCATGCCGAAACTTTTTTGCGGTGCATCATGTAAAACGTCCCATAATGCGCCGTGGTGACGTTTCGGCATGGTGACGTGTCGGCATGGTGACGTTTCGGCACTTTGCCAATACGCCTGCGCGGTGTATTATGGCAACGTCCCATAATGAACCGTGGCGACGTTTCGGCACTTTGCCAATACGCCTGCGCGATGTATTATGGCAACGTCCCATAAGGAACCGTGGCGACGTTTCGGCACGATGCCGAAACGTCACCGTGGTGCATTATGGGACGTTTCCCATAATGCACCACGCGGTTACACCGACGCCGACGCCACTCATGCCGGAAACGGGCACCTAAAAGCTGCACTCTAAAAAAAAAAAAAAAAAAGATCTCGACGCTCAAAAATCTGAGCAAGCATCCACCCAAAAACACTAGGCCATATTTCAAGCCAAGACAGCGGTAGTTGAAGTTTTGATGCCGCGAGTAACTGGTCGGCAACGTCACCGCTTTAACATTCCCGCTGCCAGCACGGAAGAGCATATTAAGCGCTCCGTGTTCGTTGCTTTCATTGCTGATTAGGCAGTTCAATGGGAGACTTCAAAAGCACCGGCGTACGTAGCGATGATTTTCGTCGCTCCTGCAAGCGAAGATCTTGGAAAGCGGGGGAGCTCCCTGCGCTGTAAAGTTTTTGGAGCTCTATCCAATGCGAGCTGCTCGTATGGGCTCCCAAATGCGAAAGAAAGATAAGGTGAAACGCTCCACACGTCTGCGCTACAGGCCGCCCTTTGTCCAGAGGCCCTATTCTCAAACGTTCATCGTCTCCTCAAGATCCTAGCGACTCTGCGCGTAACAACGGCGGAAGCTGAGAGCTTGTTTTCTTGACCACGACGATTGAAAGCCTACCTGAGAGCGTCCACATCAAATCAGAGACTGCGTTTTTGAAACTTCACCACGAGATTGAAGTTCAAGAGGAGGACGCCTAGAATATTCTTTGCCGCGAACTCAGGCGGCTGCATCTTAATCTGTAGGCGCGTGGCATAAGTGAGATGATCAAAGGAGCCTGCAAATTGCTTTGTGAAACAACTGATCAGAATAAATTTTTATTCGTGGTATTTTCTAGTCGAAAGCACGTAATTCTGATCAGTACGCAAGGTGTGCGCGAGCACAGCGCCACGCGTTGCTTACAGGGCAGTTTTTTTTACGATTCATTTAATATTACTTACATAACCGACATTGCTTTATATTATCACTATGTGTTCGTTTTATTATGTTACCTTTGGTTTTATTGAACTGTGTATTTTAGTGACGATAGATTGTTATTTTTGGCCTTGAAATGGCCATCCTTCACCCCACAAGTGTTTTGAAATATCCGTTCTCTATTCATCTCAGACCAAGTTCCGCATCCCATCAAATAAATTTGAATGAGGAAATATTTCCTATTTTATTTATTTGAGCATTTTCTACCCCAAAAACACTCTTTCCGAAAGCATATAATTTGGAGTTAGTCTGCGCTCCCCCTTTGCTCCGCGCCCCGTGCAAAACCAACTGCGTGAGCTGGTGTAGCGTCTACTGTAGTGGAATCTAGCCATAAATCTGGCTTGGTGTGGCAACTGTAACACTCTCCAAGATGGCCACCAACTAACGAATAAACGTCGGCACGTTGTTGTTTTAATCCAAAAGAATGCTTCCCTTTTTCTACATCTCCAACATTACAGCTGGGGAGCGAGCGGGCCCCTTGGGGGGGGGGGGGGGGGGGGGGGGGGGGAGGTTTGGCGTTTCGGGAGAGGGGGTCTCGACGCCTCCCCCCCCCCCCCTCCCCCCCTTGCCTGCGCTACTGAATATAGCATTTCAAAGTTTGGGGGTTGCAAATTATGTGTGCGGTTGGGTTCCATATAATATATTCCTCACACAGCAATTGTACCTGTTTATGAAAATATGCTTTCTGAATTCCAATATACAAATATGATGACGTATAACGTACCGTACTCCTCTTTTGTGATTTGTAGAAAAAAGTGAAGCGTTTTTATTGTATATTTGAGAAAGTTTTCTTTGAAAAGTATGGGGTCTTATTTTGAAAGTAAACAACCGTACAATTTATCGGCCACAAGTCACAAGCACTCACCTACCGAATTAAAGGAAAGAAATAAGCTATTTACCTATAGAAAGAGAGAAGTAGACTGGGGTAAGAACAGGTCAAAAGTACCGCAGTGAAATTTAATGATGTCAATTTTTACTTCTTAATCTTACAGTCTTGGGGCACCTCACGATGGATTAACACATATGTGGAATGAATGTCTTCCACCAAGAAACGACTGCCGCAGAAATAGCGATGATGATCACTTCATTATGCATCCTTTCGAACCAGGCAATCAACATTTCTCAGATTGTTCCAAACAACATATGACTGCCTTTATATCGTAAGTATTGCATCACAAATATTATAATAATATGCACGATAATGTTTGGCTTGAGCCTTCTACAAAACGTCTACCCATAGGAGCACAGGAACGTGGAACCTGCGTGCTCGGTTCACCAATGCACCGCCTGTTTTTGTCGCGTGATCCCGCTTTCTTGGCATGTGCTCATGGCCGGAACTGTGATCATGTGACGAGAGACGGAGTAATGACTAGTCCATGTAAAATGCAACTTCCATTACCCTGACAGCTTAGTAATAAACGGAGTACATAAAGGACCTCACACTGCCGCGCATCACCTGCATTCTATTTGGGTGGCGAAGAGCGGCCGCCTGTTGCATATATTGCTACAGATTTCAGGAGGGCTGGCAAATAGCGCGAGATTACTAGCAATCGTATACGAGGTATTGAGGTGTTAACTGAATACAAAAACACACAGGAATTTACGTGATGTCCACTAATTTCGAAATTATAGTCTGTGGTGACCAAAGCACCATCAGAACGATCGGACCGTAGCACCAAGCAAAGGAAGGGGAGCACGCCCGACTGACGGGGAGCGCTGCCGCGGTTCGGGCAGGCTTTCGGTGGGACAAGGCGAGTAAAGAAATAAGAGATTCCCTAGTTGTTCCGAGTCCTGTTTTTTCGCAGTTGACTACACGGATGGACACCCTAACAACCCCTGGCTGCGAAAGGAAAGCCACTGTAGAGATGGGGTCCGCCGAGCGTTTGACTGGTGCGAGCGGCGTTTGAGAATGTATTATCTGCGCCGTCGTCGCCGCCTTTCGTCGCCGTCGCCGCCGCTGCCTCCGCCGCATTCTCGTTGCAGCAAGGTACCTGCGATTTCTGGCGTCTGCCGTTGGGGTCGGTACTCGGGTGCAGCTGCGTCTAGAAAAACAAGTGCGAGAGGGTGTTTCGGAGCGTCCGCGCTAACCGAACGGTGTAGGTCACGAGTGCGTTCTGACCAAAGGCCGGGGTGCGTACTCGCGTCCTCACGGTATATAAAAGCTCGGTAACGCTGCGGAGACGTCGTCATGAATTTTAGCCTACGACTTTCCGCTGTAAAAGGATGTTTTGTTTTGTTTTGTATTGCATAAGAATTATGAGTACCTCAAGCTGACATAGCAAGCCCTCCCATTTTCTGATTTACGAAAGTCAGATGCTTCACTTCAGTAACATACAAGTAGTATGTTACTTTTTTTTTTTTTTTTATAAAGCTTATGATTTTTTTTTCGCCCGAACTGTGGTTTTATGTTCAACGTACACGTCAACCGAGACATTATGATTCGCATTTTAGCATTTTAGTAGATTTTGCCTCTATTTAATTATATGCCGTTGAACTTTAGTCATTATCATTTAGTTGTGTTGTTAAAATGCTTTAAATAAAAAAAACGTTTTGGAAAAATAAACTAATTTTATAATCCGTACCCTTCTTTAGTAGCCGTCTACTCACAATCGAAGAATTATTCGATTCGTATTAGTATTCGATACGTTGCCAGAAATATATGATTCGTATTTAATTCAGTTTCAAAGATCACTATTTGCACAGCCCTAGCAGCGCCAAATTGTAACATGTATGAGAACCCCGTTGCGTCCCAATTCGCGGTGGATCTCATAAGGACCGCTCAGTACGGTCTCGGTCAGGAAGTACTCGGCGTGTCCGCCATTAGGGTGTGCAGTGGGAGGTTCTTTCCGGCCCTGGGTCATCACGGTTTTGGGAACCTCGTTCAGTCCCCTATTGCATTCGATCTCGGGAGGGCCGCTGAGTACGGTCTCGGTCAAGAGATACTCGGCTTGTCCGCCATTAGGGCGTGCAGCCGGAAGTTCTTTGCGGCCCTGGATCTTCACGGCTTTGGGAACCTGGTTCCGTCCCCTACTGCGTTAGATCTCAAGAGGACCGCTGAGTACGGTCTAGGTCAGGAGGTACTCGGCGTGTCCGCCATTAAAGCGTGCAGCGGGAGGTTCTTTGCGGCCCTGGATGCTCACGGTTTCGGGAACCTCGTTGCGTTCCCTACTGCATTGTATCTCGGGAGGGCCGCTGAGTACGGTCTCGGTCATGGAGTACTCGGCGTGTCCGCCATTAGGGCGCGCAGCAGGAGGTTCTTTGCGGCCCTGGATCCTCACGGCTTTGGGATCCTCGTTGCGTCCCCTACTGCGCTGGATCTCGGGAGGACCGCTGAGTACGGTCTCGGTTAGGAAGTACTCGGCGTGTCCGCCATTAGGGCGTGCAGCGGGACGTTCTTTCCGGCCCTGGATCCTCACGGTTTTGGGAACCTCGTTGCATCCCCTAATGCGTTGGATTTTGGGAGGACCGCTGAGTACGGTCTCGGTCAGGAGGTACTCGGCGTGTCCGCCTTTAGGGCGTGCAGCGGGAGGTTCTTTGCGGCCCTGGATCCTCACGGTTTTGGGCACCTCGTTGCGTCCCCTATTGCGCTGGATCTCGGGAGGGCCGCGGAGTACGGTCTTGGTCAGGAGGTACTCGGCGTGTCCGCCATTAGGGCGTGCAGCGGGAGGTTCTTTCCGGCCCTGGATCCTCACGGTTTTGGGAACCTCATTGCGTCCCCTATTGCGTTGGATCTCGGGAGGGCCGCTGAGTACGGTCTCGGCCTGGAGATACTCGGCGTGTCGCCATTAGGGCGTGCAGCGGGAGGTTCTTTGCGGCCCTCGATCCTCACGGTTTTCGGAACCTCGTCTCGTCCCCTATTGCGTTGGATCTCGGGAGGGCCGCTGAGTACGGTCTTGGCCAGGAGGTACTCGGCGTGTCCGCCCTTAGGGCGTGCAGCGGGAGGTTCTTTGCGGCCCTGGATCCTCACGGTTTTGGGAACCTCGTTGCGTCCCCTACTGCATTGTGCCTCGGGAGGGCCGCTGAGTACGGTCTCGGTCATGGGGTACTCGGCGTGTCCGCCATTAGGGCGTACAGCAGGAGGTTCTTTGCGGCCCTGGATCCTCATGCTTTTGGGAACCTCGTCGCGTCCTCTATTGCGTTGGATCTCGGGAGGGCCGCTGAGTACGGTCTCGGTCAAGAGGTACTCGGCGTGTCCGCCATTAGGGCGTGCAGCGGGAGGTTCTTTGCGGCCCTGGATCCTGACGGTTTTGGGAACCTCGTTGCGTCCCCTACTGCATTCTATCTCGGGAGAGCCGCTGAGTACGGTCCCGGTCATAGGGTACTCGGCGTGTCCGCCATTGGGGCGGACGGCGGGAGGTTCTTTGCGGGCCTGGATCCTCACGGTTTGGGGAACCTCGTTGCGTCCCCTACTGCGTTGGACCTCCTCGGGAGGGTCGCTGAGCACGGTCTCGGTCATGGGATACTCGGAGTGTCCGCCATTAGGGCGGACGGCGGGAGGTTCTTTGCGACCCTGGAATCTCATGGCTTTGGGAACCTCGTTGCGTCCCCTACTGCGTTGGATCTCTGGAGGGCCGCTGAGTACGGTCTCGGTAATGAGGTACTCGGCGTGTCCGCCATTAGGGCGTGCAGCGGGAGGCTCTTTGCGGCCCTGGAGTCTCACGGTTTTGGGAGGAATGCGACAGAACAGCGTACGACAAAACAGCACGCGAGAAAACAGCACGGCCAAAACAGCACGCGACAAAATAGCACAGCGTCAAAACAGCACGGCGACAAAACAGCACGTGTCAAAATAGCACGCGACAAAACAGAACAGCGTCCAATCGGCACAGCGACAGAAGAGCTCGTGCCAAAACTGCACGGCATTAAAACAGCACAACGACAAAACAGCACGCATGTAAAAAAGCTGTAATAGGTAGCGTTTTCTGAAAACAAAAAAATAACGTAAAGAAACAGGGTTGGACATTGCATGGCATTATTTAACAGCTAGTGAAGAAACAATAAAACAAAAATGTACGCTGGCGTCGACGGGATCGCACTCAAGTCAGTGTCCCGAGTGCTGCTGATGTGTGGTCGCTAAAAACAAAGTTAGCAGTAGTTACTACTACTTAACTACGCTGATCTCTGAAGAGATTGGGTAGAGGTGATATCTTCGCGTCGATGTTGGCTGCGTCATCTGGTCTTTTTGTAGAATCAGGGAAAGATGAAAAGTTATAGAAAAAAAAAATATCCATAAGTTCAGGTTATGAACTGTCGTGTTTCCGACGGTCCGGTGAGGTTGCGTGGTACTCGTCGTTTCGTAATTACCAACTAAGCGTAGAACGTCGCTTCAAATAAACCGGGAGATCTGCCGATTACAGATGCATTGATAGAACCGGTGAGATAAGGTGACTTTAATGTGGAACGTATTTAAGGTGTACCATGGGCACCGATTCTTCGGGGCTCATTCGCCGTGAATAAAATGCACCGGAAACGCGAGGCATCAGCTTCCAGGCGAGAAGTTGTCATGAGTTAAATTCACAGATTATTGCCGACGAAGGGGCCTCGATCGAGTGGAAACCGGTGAAGCAGAAACGTGCCGCAGCCTCAATGTTGTGGCCGTATAGCATGGGCTGAGCACACCGTTGCGGCAGACACTTTCTGTTTTTTTTTTTTCTTTTAACAACTAACGACAACACATTGCCGTGCGATTCAATCGTTTATTGTAGACGATATCACCAGCAAACTTACGCGTCAAAATGAGCAGAACTGCTCAAGAAATAGCCTGAATGCGCACCAGTGGGGGCTTGAGTACTGCCCCGGGAGCCTTCATATGCGCATCGAGTATACTCCCTACTCCCAACTTGCTTCCAAAAGAACGGATTCGACAAATTGGCCGTCGATGAGTTGGCTTTCAACGAATTGGCCTAGAACCTCAATTCCTTTACAGTGCCTACTTTGAGAGACGCATTTTTTAACTCCTTGCGCTATTTTTAATGTTCAGCGTTTTCTACTTAAACCGAATAAAACCGGTAAAAGTACGCCGAATTCATTCTTCCAAATTCGGTTTCAACTGAAAAATCTTAGTATTTTTGAGGGCGATTCGTGTGGTGTGCGCGTGTGTGTGTGTGGGGGGGGGGGGGGAGATGTGACTCATAACTAGGGTTTCGTGTTTTCGAATAAA